AAGTAAAACCTTGGCAACCGAAAGGATAGAGCTGCCATCAACTGAGATAGAGAAGGTCAAAGATAAAATAGATTCAGGTTGGATGAGGCAGTGGACAGAGTTATCAGAAGATCCATTTTGGACACCATGAATTTAAGAGGTCTACTAATCACTCAAAGCCAAACTCAAGTGAGCAGCCAAATTCCTAGGAAATAGGCCTGAATTAGAAATATGTATTTGGAAGTTGTCAGCATATAAGTCACCCACTAAGGGAGAATAAATTGAGAAGAGTTCCTAGAACTGAGCCCTGGGTTATGCTTATGCTAAGAGGTTGAGGAGAAAAGGGGAGCCTAACACAGCCACCAATGAGATAGGAAGAAAACCAAGAGTATGGTATCTTGGAAGCAAGGTAAAGAAAACTTACCAAAAAAGAAGTGACCAATTGTGTCAAATCCCACTGATAGGTCAAATAAAATGAAGAACAAAAATTGACCAAGGACTTAAGGAAATTACTGTTGAGTCAGACAATTAGAGTAAGACGAGACAAGTTTTTAGTTTTACTGCAAAGGGAAGCTAAAATATGGAACTGAGGTTGGCCAAGAAAAGGGTAGTCAAAAGAAACTACTGCTTTGGTTTTTGGGTGGGAGAAATAATAGCATGTCCATATGCTAGTGAGAATGCTCAAGCAGAAAGAGAAGTAATGATTATAGTAGAATGAAGGAAAACTTCTGGAATCATGCCTTGTAGGTTAGGAAAGTGGATCAGGTGCACAAGTGGTCCAACAGGCAGATAATCTAGTTAACAGGGAGAAAGGTAGAGTAAATAAACACAGTTACTAGTAGGTGGGTAGATAATTATAAGTAATTAGGCTATACTGAACCATGACTGGCAAGCTTATCTATAAGCTTTCCCTCAAAAGCAGACTTCCGGAGAGCAGTGTTTGAATATTCATTATTGTTTCAATTCCACTAGGGGCCAAAAAGCTATTGGAAGTCTTAACAGAGTGGTAGACTTCCTGTGATTACCTTAATTGAGACCAATTGTTTCTAGTGATTACTCATGGCACTAGATATCCTATCCAGGACTCATAAGTGAGGCACTAATTAGCAATTTTAGAATAACTGCATTCCAATTAATCCAAAGTCTTCAAAACTCCTGAGAATTTTTCAAACAATTTCAGAAGTAGAGAAATCTATCATTCTTGGCAACATTACAGGTACTGTTGAATCATTTCAGACACTCTAAATACTACCAAATTCCAAAGAGCAGTCTCAACCTTACTCCTGGAGTTAGTTCATTAGTTTAGGAGGATTTTAAGAACACAGACAATAACATAATTTTCACCAATGAAGAGGAATAAATATTCCATTCTGAGTTACTGTCCTCGTTTAAAAGATTATGTCCTAAGGTACTGACAAACTCACACAGCGGTGTTAGAAGCATATGAACAGCAAATATTATTTTAAATCCTTAGACCCTATAGAAAATTAATAATAAAGCACATTAATTCTAACATTTATGTAACAGAAGTTTCATTGCACTATTCCATCAGTCAACATTAGCAACAGGTGTCTCTTGAGATTCAGAAAAAACTACTTTGTAAAAGCAACAAATTCTGATACACAGTTCTGAAAGCTAAGTAGTAAGCTAAGTAACACTTTTCATCAACTCTCTGTCATCTTCCATATCTCATTAGAAAAATTAAGTATACATTTTAGTAAAATGAAATTTTTCAACATAATACCCCACAGAACTTCTTTCATAACAAATGTGTTTGTATCCTAAATGTAACTCACAAGCTCCATATTATATTAATAGTAAAGGCAAAGAAAAGCAATGAAATAGAAAAAAAATTTTTAAAAGCTAAGAAATAAACTGTATTCATTAAATACAAACAATTTACTGCAAGTCAGTGTTTCCTACTATTAAAGGGATCACATATGCCTGTGCAAATATGATGAAAGCTACGCATATAATTTCAGGGAATTCATGGATGCCTTGAAGCCTATATATAGGTCTTGCAAGTTTAGAGAATCTGTAATTAGAAAAAATGGGAGTCCAAAACCAATCCATAAACATAGGAAAATTTAATATATGAAAAAAGGAATTGTAATATATGAAAAAATAACCATAACATACAGTGAGAAATGAATTATTAGTATGTTATTCGCCATAGTTGCTATTCATTGAAAAAAAATTATAATAAATCTCTATAAATACATGGATGCTTTAATGAACTAAATGTCAAAAATAAAAATAAGATACTATGGCAAAATATAGAGAATGTATATAATCTTTGTTGGAGACAATCTTCTCAAGTAACAGAAGAAAACTACTTGCCTAAATTGATAGATTTGACTTGTAAATTTTTAACTTATGCATAAGCTTACAGAAAGCTTTACAGTAACAGAAAATAAATGCAGACTATTTTTCTCCTACAACAGAAATAACCTATTTCAGTTGCTTCATTGGGTAATATAATTATGTTCATTATTTGGATACAAACAAGCAGACATTACACTAAACCAATTTCTTTGTGTCAGAAATTAGATTTTTCCAGAATTATATTCATTCTTAGCAATAAATGCAATTAAACATTGATATTACTGTTTAAAAATTCTATTCAAACTGCTAAATCTTAGTGTAATGTCAATATAAAGTCCCAAGCAACCTGGTATAATTAAAGAAGCACTTGATTTAGAATCACACATACCTGGGTTCCAATCCTGACTCGGCCACTATTAGTTATGTGGTCAAGTTATATAACCCTTGAGCCTATTCCTGCATCTGTAAAAATAGCTTTCTATGGTGTTCTTGGAAGATTACATAAGAATATCACATATGGAAGTGCCTAGTACAGAGTCTGATTGTCAAACTATGCCTTCTGCCTTCCTTCCCTAAGGAAGATTACTAACTGGTAACATCTGTTTTTGTACTGTTTTTTTGTAAGACTTTTCTTTTCAAGAAATCAAGACTGCTGACATAAACTCATACATTTCACCTGCCATATTTTTGCAGTTCCAGAGCATTATTCGTTCCTTCAAGTGTTTTATATTTGAGCTCCTTTTTTGGCTCTTTTTTGAGTATGTTATTTGATCTCTTTTTATTTCTGATACAATTTAAAGGTTTCTTGTAAAAAATCATGGGAAAAAAACCACACATTATTTTCTACCTGTGGCTTTCCACAAGTTAAGATAATCCTCTTTTTAAAATCAATTAGGCTGTATCTATGGAAACCACTTTCAAGTGTTATGAAAAAAAATCTGAGGCAAAAAAAGAAAATAAAAAATTGAAGTAATCCTAGCCACTGTAAAGTGCTCAAGAAATAACAGTTACTCAACAAAGAAAAAATACAAATCTTAATTTTAATATAACTTTCAAGTTTCTCTAAATGGAGTCATTTTTTTCTGTAAAACTGGATCATTAAAGAGGCCAGAAAATGACTCCAAATACTAAGTGGATCCAAACAAAAAGGAAAAGTGTATTGGCCAACATTCAATGTTTAAGGTGAGTAATTTTTTCCATCACACAAGACACGTAATTAATAAAATCATGGTAAATAAATTTTATCTCTCTTCAAAACTGTATAGGGTTAAGTTTTACCCTAGATTGAGGAATGGAATTATCCTGAGCTCCTCCTCCAACTTTGGCTGCACTTCAATTAGATATATTTGATACTCTTTGATAGACTGTTCTTTAAAATGTTTCCAAGGCTTTTTGCAAAATCTGCCAAAACTGCAAGCAGGCAGATATACTTCTAATATTACAATTATTTACTAATACATTTTTCCTTAATGTTATCACCCACAGGAACATCTAGCTGTTACTCAGTCTAAATGATTTTGCTGCTGGTATTTTATTGCGTGCTTCTCAAAAAGTATTTAAAACAATGACGAGGTGAAAGTATACACATAAAAACACATTACTTTTCCATATTCAAACTGGAGTCTCTTGAGCTGATTTTTAAATGCCATATACATTTTTAAATCAAAATGTATCGCATTCTTTTAACACTCCCTCCCCCATCCCAAACTCCTCCCAAAAGCCAAAGTTCCCTACTAATCTGAAAGTACCTATTATCTATGAATTTTTCTGGTTTTTCGTAACTTCATACTCCAACATTATATCCTTCAGACCCCTTTTCTCATTAAAGTACTGTTAACTCCTTAAGATACTTAAGCATATGGTTTATTTATTGCATAATCTTACTCTTCCTTCCACCAACTTAAATCTCACTATAATTCCCCTTCAGCGTTCCCTTCTCTCCTAAACGCACTCCATCAACATCGCTGGGGGCCACATACACAAACATTCCTATTCTGAAGCCCAAAATATTAATAAAATTTCGCTCCACTAAAAAAACGTACTTAAAACCTCGTGCCTCCTTTCAGTAGCACGCTTGAAGCTTTTTATTTGCTTTCCTGTTCTACCTTGGCAGCCTATTTCTCCCGTCAGTTGTGTGGTCCCTTGCTGCCCCCAGCACAAGAGTGCAACTCACTACAGTGTATTTCTTTTACTCACCATGATTCCCAGTATCTCCCTCCATTTCCGACCATCCATCCCCTAGTGAACCTCCTGGTCCACAAAAGAACTGTATCCAGGTGCCCACACCTCAAATTAGAATACCCCTCGACTGACACTGCCGGGGCTTTTTATAGACTCAAGAAAACACAGAAGGTTGAGCGTTCCTGCCTCCTCCAGCAGTTCCCGCTCCCTACCGAGTTCGGTCTTCTCTTGCTTCTCCCCCGTGGAATGCCTACTTCTGGTAACCCTTAGGCACCGGAAAGCTCACCTTAGCAACCTCTGCCCCGTGACCTCGCGAGCCCAGCACCTCGCTCAAGCTTAATTCACACCATTCTTGGAGCTTGTGTTTTCGATGCCCCCAGTCCCAGCTCTCGTTGCAAGCTCTTTCACCCTCTTGCCCCCCAGCCAGACCGCAGGTTGCGACCGGAGCAACTGGACATGCCTCCCTGGCCCGGCCCCCTGCACACCACTCACCCCGAAGTGGCTCTGCTCCTTACCTAGCTTTGATCGGGACTCCTCCAGTTTCTGGATTTGGTTCTCCAAGAAGAGCATCGCCACTGCGAAGGCCACCACCGCCAGCAGCTGTAACTTGGGCGGCATCATAATCCTAAGGAGCCCCATGAAACCCGCTGCTCGGGATCAAGACATACCGCGGGGGGCGGGGAGCGGGGCCCCGGAGGCGAGTGAGACGCCGGGGGGCAGCCCACCGAGCGGGGAGAAAGGCAGGGAGAGCGCGACAGCGAGAGAACCACCGCAGCGACCCCCCCCCTTCTCGCCGACCCAGTCCCCCGCCCCCAGGCGCCAGTACCAACGCCGCCAGTGCCCGCTTCTCCTGGACCGACTCAACGGCCGCCCCCTCCAAAAGCCCGCGCAGCAAACACAGCGCGAAGCGGATGCCGGGCTCTCGCCTGTCTACAGCCTCAGTCCCCGACCCCCGCGCCCGCCTGCCTGCCCGCCTCCTTCTCTTCCTTCCTTCCCTCCCTCCTTTGCTCGCGGCCGCGCGCTCTTCCGCCAGTGCTGCGGCTGCGACTGCGCCGCCCTCTGCTCCGCCCCCGCCCATCCCCCTCCGCCACCACGCGCACGCATCCACGTACGCTGCTCGGCAACCGGAGGCTCCACCCTCGGCTCGCGTTCAGTTGTGCCTATTGGACCGAAGAAACCCGAAGCCTCGCTCTTGGTTCGTGTTATGGTTGGTTTCCTTTGCCTTGGGTGTCAACCAAAGCGGCATTCGATTGGGTAAAGGAGGCGCGCTGAAACCGAAGAAGGCGGGGCTTCTTGGCTGCTTGACGAATTGTCGTGAATAAAAGGAAGGCGCTCGGAGCCGTACAGATTTGGGGAGTTTAGGAAAATGCCTGATAGGGGTTTTCGGAAGGACCCTGCGACTTTGTATTTATATTAAATATAAAGATATTTGACTACCTTTAAGTTTCGATATATTTCTAGGTAATACCTGTCTCTGAAGAGTAAGAGACTCGGTAACAACGGCCTTTAACAGACTGTTTTGGATAAGGCTCTGGAGTGGACGCCCCTAGCTGAGAGGTCCTCCGGGCAGTAGGAAACCTAGGGAAGATGGTAGCGATGGCGGCTGGGTCGGTTGGGTCGCTCCGGCCGGCGTTTGCGCTGCGGTTGCTCTTGGCTGCTGTACTTCAAGCGGTAAGTAGAGATCGTCTCCGCAGCAGCCCAGGGCGAGTGGTGAATGTTGCGCAGAGGAATACGAAACATTTGGTCCTGCATGGTAGCCACGCTTGGAGAGGGTGGGAGGACTGGGCTTCCTTAGGGACTGGTCCGACCGGAATGCTACGTGGCATCTTTCCTCATTTGATGCTTTTCCTTTCCCGCCCCGGATTTCTAGCGGTTCTTTCTCTTGACTTCAGAGTATCTTGAGTTGTACTTCTTTTGCAGAGTTTCAATTAAAAACAACCTATAAGCCTCACGGTAAGGGGGCGGGTAGAAAGCAATGAATCTTAGAAAGGAATGAAAATTGTTTTTAAATGGGCAGAATACAAGAGACCACCGTTCTTCGTGATAAGGCTCTCCCTAAATCTTAGACGAAAGCCCCCATATCTGTGGTCCAGGGTATACTTCTGTGTACCTGCGTACCCAGGGTAACAATTCCTGTTAACTTTTTTCTCTCAGTTGTTAGTTGTTTCTAATTCACTGTTAGCTTTTTATCTCCGATCTCTGTTACTCACGTGCTGCTGAATGCATTTCAGTACCGTTTGTGGTTTTAAACAACCTTGTTGCAATAAAAGGAGCTATTCTATACTAAAGCACAATTTATTTTTGAAATCGATTTTCTAAAACGATAGCTTTCTTATCGTTTAAAATCTGGCAGTGTTAACCAACTTTTTAACCTCGTTCTTCATTAACCCAACAGACGCGTTCTTAATCTTTGAGTGGAGAAGGGCTAATTTTGTCTTATTTTTCTGTTCATTCATGTACAACTTAGTATTGGTTTATGTCTCCTAAGAAGCTTGCGATCCATATTTTGCTATGTGAGTAACTTTTTTTCTGGGCACTGCGGAAGCTTTTACACGTATCATTAATCAGCTTAATTCTTCAGGTATTTTCATTACTGAGCCTGCTGAACAGTTTTCTCCTAGGAGACTTGGTTTCATTGACTTCACCACAATTTAGGGGAGTTAATGCCTCTACCAAAAATTTCCATAAACAGCCCGTTGCTTTTCTTTCCTCAAAGAGTTTGAAGTTCTTGCCTGTTTGTTTTTGCAACCATACCTTAAAGGTGGATTTTTTAACTTCTCTAATTAGCACGATAGTACTTTGTTATTCAGGCATTTGGTGCCCCCTTAGAAATTACCAAAAGACCCTTCTCTAAACTTTCTACTGGAGAATTTTTGTTGTTCTTGTTTTGCCAGTCTTAGATAATTAGAGTCTACCACCATGCAAAGGTAAGGAATAACATATCACGTTGACTTCTGATTTCTCTGTCTTTAATTATCAGTGTTGTGTAACCACCCCAAATTTTGTTGGCTTAAAATCACAATTTCTCATAATTTTGTGGGTCTGCCGTAGAGTTCCTGTTTTCGTCTGGCTCATGTAATGTAGTTGTGTTCAGCTAGTAGGATGGCTGAGCTGAAAGGTCCAAGATGGCTTCATTCTTAGTTGGTGCTGTCAGCAAGGGTGACTTGGTTCTCCTCCGTGTGACCTCTCATCCTCCAGCCCAACTTCTTTTCATGGCAGTCTCAGAATAGTGCTCCTGAAGAGCAAAAAAGCTGCAGTGCCTCCTGAAGGCTAGCCTTGAAAATCACATATATTACTTCCACCTCACGATACTTGTCAAAGTAAATCATAGGACTGGTCTAGCTTTCAGGGATGGAGAAATAGACTCCATCTTTGCACAGGAGGAGTGACAAACTTGGCAAAGAAATTACATACCAGGATAGGAGGAGTTTATGGCCATTAAATAATCTACTACCATGACCATCCACATAAGTCAAAAAGTTAGGTATCATCTTTGACATTTTTTTATATACCTTACATCAGGCAATTACCAACTCTTTTTTATTTTACTTCCTAAATATCACTCAGATCCATGCACTTAATGTTAATCCATCATTCAGGCCACCAACATCTCTCTCATTAGCATTAATAGCCTTCTAGTTCACTCTTCTATCAGAACCTAAATGGTTGGCTTTGTAAGTTTCCCAGTTGCCCAAGCCAGCAAGTAGTCTTTTTTAAATTCTTTTTCACTCTCTGAATCCAATTAGTCATTAAACCCTTGAAAATCTCCAAGCCAGTCCACTTAATTCTATGTTCACAGGCAGTACCTAAATTCTGACCACCATTTTTGCTTGCCTGGAATTCCCCCAACAGTTCCTTAAACTGGGTTCCATATTTCATTTTCTTACTTTCTAATTCAAGCTCTACAGTGCATCCACAGTCATCTTTTTTCAAACTTTATTATAATTCTTCAGTGGTTCCCTGTTGATTTTAAGGTGAAGTCTGTTCTCCTGAACATTCCTTAACAAGGTCTGTTTCACTTGATACTTATTTGTTGAGCCAGGCTTAAGTCCCAGAACTTACCGCTGCTGCAAGAGCCAAAAGATAAGGTGAAGAATTGGGGTCATTTGTTTTAGCCTGTCGCACATACCATGTTCTTCCTCAACCAGGCCTAAAGTGTTTAGATAAAAGGCAAAGTTTAATTTACATACCATCTCCAGATATGCAGATTCAGATATACTCTCTCCCTTCCATATTCTGTCATCATATCTTATATTCTATTACACAGATACACAATCTTAACAGTACCATACCTTGTGTGTTTGTATCCCTCCACTCCCCCTGCTCCTATGCCAAGAATATAGCTAAAGGGAATACAGAGACCTTATTTTAGTTTGTTTCTTTTTTTTTTCATATTGTGCCTCATATGTATTTGTTCACTAAACTCCCTCAGAGCTGGGCATCTGGGTGGCTCAGTTGGTTAAGCGTCTTACTCTTGATTTCAATTCAGGTCATGATTTCAGGGTTGTGAGATAGAGCCCCACATCGGGCTTGTGCTGGGCATCGAGCCTGCTTGAGATTCTCTGGCCACCCCATCTCTGCCTCTCCCCTCCCCCAAAAAACAAAGCCTTGAGTCTGCAAAACTAATGGTAGAAGAGCTAGAAAGAAGTAAATCACTCATGAAACTCAAGTTAACCTTGTATCTCCACTACACTTCTCCTCTATTCCATGTCTAATAATTAGAACATAAGTAGTGTTTTGTATTTCTTAAGAGGGTTTTTAAGAGTACTAGAAAGTGCATAATGCAAACATCTGTCAGGGACCCACTGTGTCCTGGGTAGAAAACTAGAGGCTTCATTCACTTTTTCTCCTTTAATCCTCAAAACTGCTAGATAAATCACAGTTATTCCTATTCAGAATTTCAGAAGTAAGATTGCTCTGTGCTAGCATTTGAATCAAGATGTCATCAGACCAAAAACACATTTTGCATATTTATGCCACCTGTCAGTAGGTGCGCAGTAAATGCCAGAATAACACCAATAATATGATTGCATGATCATTCACTTGAAATTTTTGTTTTGTAAAACGTGCTTTGGCAATAACAATTTCTTATATTTGTTAACAAGTTCATGGTTTCAAAGTGATTTCACTTTTATTGCCTTTGTTAGTTACCATGGTTGAAAAACAAATCACCATCAACTTTATTGGTATAAAACAATTATTTTGCTTTTAGATTCTGTGGGTCAGCAATTCGGACAGGTCACAGCAGGGTGAGTTATGTGTTCCATGGTGTCTCTGCTGAAAAGTCTGAAATACGAAGTTCTTTATTCATATGTCTAATTAATGATGGTTGTCAGCTGGGGGCTTCAGTTGCTCTCTACATGGGACTCTCCATGTTGTCCGTCTGATTTAGGTTACCTTACAGCATGGTGGCTAAGTTCCAAAGTTGAGTATTCTGGGAGAGGCAAAGACACAGTGTGTAGGAGTACTTACCACGCAGAGGCTCTTTCCTTTTTTATGACCTACCCTCAAAAACCACAGAGTATTCCTTCTTTTGTACTCTGTTAGTCAGAATCAGTCACAAGCCCCTGCCCAAATTCAAGGGAAGGGAAACTAAACTTCTCGGTAGAAGAGTGCCAGTCACATTGTAAGAACACCATGTGGGGTGATGTATATATATTGGTGTGGCCATCTGTGGAAAATGTAAATTAACCTGTGAAATAGGTCAAGCATATCACTTTACTAATCAAGAAATTACTCAAAGTACTAGTACAGAAGCACGTGTCTTCAGTGCCTCCCACAGGGCTGCGATCTATTTTGAATATTACATACATTCCACATTATTACTGAGGTAAAATGAAGGATGTATAAGGTATCAAATTAGGGTATTGACTGGCTGGCACAAGACCAATGGGATAATCATCATCTTGGGAGAGTATGACAGCACTCCTTAGTTTTTTACATTGGCAAATGCCCTTGTGTTTTTATCTACCTTGTTCATCCTGAAGAGGGTTTGACAAACTATTACTGGTGGGCCAAGTCCAGCTGGCCCTATTTATGTGAAGTTTTATTGGA